GTTCCAATAGGGAAAGTTCCAAGGCTTTCTCCTTGGAAATTTTGCAGCCTTTTGCAATAGTTGGCTTTCTCCTCACTTGGCTTTCTGTATGGAAGCAGTCTTGCCTCTTGAGAGCACTTAAAACTTAACAGAATGTGGGAAACAGAGCTTGCTCTGATCTTTAGAATGCTATTTCTTTACACCGTTGGGCATAAGCTGATCACCCTTGGAAATGATTTGATTTGAATGTTATTTCTCAAATGGAATGGACATAGATATGGAAATGGTTTTATTTGAGTGCTCAAAGTTGGTTTTCTTAATTGGTTTAGCATGAGCTGTTCAACAACTTGAAAGTGATATATTCCTGTATTGGGCAGTTGTAAAAGACTATTGTAGTAGCTTCACTGTGAACATGTTGGCGTATTTGTTTAGGGACTCTTTATATTAGTTTAAAACCCTGTGTTCTCACTTGCATTCCAATCAGCTAAGCCGCCAGAATTTGACATTTTTACCTGTTAGTGGAGAATCGAATGATGTTTTGCCTTCCTTTAGGATAACTACAAGTTTGAAATATGTCAAAGATGTTTTGCTTTCTTGTTTATGCAGGTTGTGATAAACTTGAAAAAACAGAAATTTCGAATCAATTGATTTTGCTTAGTTTTGGTATTAGTGATCCATGGTTGGTTGGAGCAGATTTCAACATGATTACTTCTATTGGTGAAAGAAATGGAGGGAGGCCTCCTAATATGAAATTGGTTACTTAATTCATTAAAGCATTATTTATAGTTGGTCTGTTCAATTTGGGATTTAAGCTAATCCTGGTACTTATGCTGGAGGTAATGGGTTTGAAAGATTTGATAGGTTTGTTCCAAACAATCATGGGGTGGACAAATTTCCTATTACTATTGTTAAGAATTAGACATTTTTTTGGTTTCGATCAAGCTTCCATTTTGCATGGTTTGGTATCATTTCAGACTTCTTAATATGTGCATTTTACACTCTTTTTTCAAGCAAATTGTGATTGATAACTGGAAAACTGGTTATTATGGAAATGTTGGGTATAGATTGTAACAATTACAGAAAAATGTGACTCTTAACTTTATAAAATGGAACTGGGAGAAATTTGGTAATCTTCACGCTACTGTTCACAAGGCTAAACATAGAGATAAAAGTTTGGATATGGATTACTGTGATGGTATGATTTGTTTTAATACCTTACTAGAAGAGAAGGAAGAGGTGATATTATAATGTATAAATGGCATGTGTATTGGCAAAAGTTCTTTTGACTTGAAGGGCTCGATACCTTTTTTTATAATGAATAATCTATCGTTATATTGTTGGTTGGTGAGTGTCAAATCATCATAAGTGAGAATTTGTTCTTATTTCCCTCTCGGGGAAGGTTTTGGGTATATAAAAATTTTTGTGGAGCTTGTTTATCCTAAGAATCTTACAAGTCTCCTTTCTTTTGCATTTTTTTTTTGTTTGTTCCGGCAAGCTCCATGCCACGAGAAAGTGGCTTTTTTCAATGGTTAATTCGGTTTGGATTTTGGTCAATAGTTGAAGATTGTGATCAAGGAAAGCTTATAACTTCTCTATTATTTGTTTTTTACTGATAAGTAAGACCACTTTTTTTAACCTAATGGTTTTTGTTATTGAAACTCATAATAATGTCTTTTGTGATGTGTAAATATTATTTGGTGGATGTCAAATATCCCTTACAAAGAGGTATTTAAAAGCATTTATGGACACCAAATACCATATCCTCGATTTTGAGAGATCAAGTGATGTCGTGGGTGGTAAAAAAGAAATGTTCAACAAACGTCAATGTTCCTTACGAGGGGTAATCGAAAGAATATTTAGGGTTTGGAAGAAGAAATAAGTCATCCTACACGATATGCCGACATACCCATTTCCTAAATAGGTTCATATTGTGGTGGTCACGATAGCGCTCCACAATTTCATTAGACGACATCCCTCTCGGTCTGATAACAACTTCAATATGGCTGACGCTGACGATATGTATATCCTGGCTAAAGCATTCAAATTCCAGGTTGGGCAGTCTATTTCAGAGGACGTTATGGAGTCAAATGAATCTCACAACTAGGATGGCGAGGGTGCAGCGGAGATGACTGTTTTCAGGGAGCGTATCACCGATGTTATATGCCGTTGCTGATTGACCCCATATTTTTTATTTTGCATACTTTATGTACTCTTATTACTTCGTTAGTTCCACTGAAACTTTCAATTTTATGATATTAATATGCTTTGTTTAGGGTTGTTATATTATATTATATTATATTATATATATATATATATATATATGGTTTATGAGTTTAATGATGAAACATATGACCTTATGAGTGCTTTTGGATTGCCAGTTCATAGTTGTTTTAGTCGTACATGTGAAGTCCTGATAAAGGCAACAGGGTTCTTCTCCTTTTTTGGTGTTTTGGCTTATGAGGATACACCCGGATGGCATTTTTTGGTGATATGCATGTGCCACAGATCGTGGGTTACCCGTTGGCGTTGCATGTGAAGTGTTAATGAAGGCAACCGATGTCCTTTCTTTTCAGCTGTGCATCGTATATAAGGATCTTCTGGATGACCTTTTTTTGTGATATGCACATGTGGCACTGGATAGTAGTCCCACGTGAGTTAAAAGCAACCAAGAACTCATTTTTTACAAGGTTTGTTGTTTGCGTGTTGTGACAGACTCGTTGGTTGGTTAATTACTTCTCTGAGGCCTCACACCTGCTATTTTTTTTATTTTATGTCTAGTGCATTTTTGTTCAAAATATTTTTTTTGATTTTAAAATTTCTGGTGATTGCTTTTTCTTAGTTTTCTATGTTTTTTTTAAACTTTTTTTTCGTACTCCCACCTGTTATTTTTCTTTTGATCAGATTTTTCGTTCTTTATGCAATATTGTTTATTAATTTTAATTTTAGTAATTTTTTATTTCATCTAATTTTATGGTTGTCATGCTCTCTCTTTAATAATTGTATTCAGATGAACTGCAAGTATTCAGAGAACTACGGGCGAGTGATATGTCGTTGAGGACTGTCATCCTTATTACTCATCTCACGACGACAATATAACTACAAGCGACAATTCTACAGGTGCCCGTAATGAGCAAACGGACCAGACGACTGTAAGTTATTCAAGTGACAGACAATTCGACCGACACTACGATATCCCATACGAAAAATGTTGGTCGACGTTCGACGGTATCCCAACCGAAGAACTTCGCACAGGGTTCGACGGTATCCCAACCGAAGAACTTCGCACAGGGTTCGACGGCATCCCAACCATACAATGTTGTTCAAGGTTCGACGATGTCCCAACCAAACAACGTCCTTCGTGACATGCATCTACATTTTAAAATGAATATTGTCATTATTTTGCTTGTACTTTTAACATGCTATTCTACTTTTTTTTTGGGTTTCCTGTTAATCATTATTAACTGAGGTGTATATCCTCTTTTGTACGGTTATGAAGGGGTTTTATTGGTTTTGAAATATCTAATGTGTAGTCAGTGAAGTTTTGTTATAAACAACACAACTACTGCATGTCAGATTGGTCATTTACCTTAAAAAAACTGCAAATAAGTTATTTTTCAAATGCACAAACCAAACAGCTAAACAGTTTTTCCAAAACAGTGGCAAAATAGACATTGATCCAGAATCAACTGTCTTACAAACGCACAAACCAAATAGTCAGTCAGCTTATATGGATAAGTTATTGATCAGCAAATTATCAAGATAAATTACTTATCTGAATAAGTTTGATAAACTGCAGTTGTTTCAAACAGACCTTTAGCCACAACCAACCAACTTTCGATCACGATGGCCCCATCTAGCTTCATCATTAACAACCTCTAAAATAATTACGGGGTCTCCCACAACCGAGTTTCCCTGTAAGTTGTCTATCTTTCTCAATGTCAACATTTTTGGATTTCTTCCCTGATTAGTAATGCCCGATGCCAACCTCCGGCCACCAGTAAACTCATATAACACCTCAACAACATGAGCCAAGAATGCAATAACCTTGCAGCTCATCGGCCTCATCAAGCAATTTCCTAATACTCCACATCCGATCATACATAGAGCAATCATTATCGTCGATACCAAGTGTTCCATGTAAATATAGAGAAAAAAGAGACACCCATCGGTCATGTCCTCTTTCGATGAAACTTTAATTGTCATTTGACTTTACGTAGATCCAAAAGGCGTGAAGATTGTTTTATGATGCAAGAATATTTACTTCCAAAAATATTTCGATTAAGATCCTAAATTCAACATGATTATTTAGATTTAGGCGATTGAATTTAGTAGCAAATTCAACATCAAACTTAGACTATACCTAAATAAAATATGGAAAAATTTATAGCGATCTTAATATGAATATGAAGAAACAAATCTCCACACATATTAACAGTCATTTATTCTATAGAAACTTTATACCAGAGAGTATGGAGAATAAATTAAAGGTAGAATAACCTAAGCACTGTAAAGTATATTAAATCACATTGAAAAAAAAAATTTAACCGACTCTATTATTCAGTTCGATTCAATTAACACTCAATGTAAATTTAAAACAATGCTGGTGCCTTCAAAATATATGTGATGATTTATTCTTTAGAAAAATAATAGTAAAGTAAAGTCATCATTTTCTAAATCATATTTGATATATTCGAGCAACAATAACTTTTCATTAACAATCAAAATGAAATCATACCCATCATCAAGTTTATTACAATTCCAAATTTGTTAATTTAATTAAATTTTATATTCCTGGGCTTCTTTTTAAAAACGTTCGCTCAAATTAATCAGGACTCTACATGGAAAAAATAATAGCCTTATACGCAATGATTATGACAAAATCCACAAGAGACGGAACAATTAACATGAATGAAGACAAATTCGTTACTAATGGCATCATTATGGAAAAGAAAATTTCTAAACAAATATGAAACGTGTTAACTATTATAATAAAATCACATGAAAATTTCAAAAAAAAATACCTCATATGGTGCTCTCCTGGTACTGATTGCATCATTCTCATTAAAAACCGGTATGACTTTAAGGGATAGCAATGTTTTGACAGTTTCTGTAAGTTGCATCCTAAAATTTGGATCCTTAAATTCCGTATCCGTAACAAGAAGTTGAGATGATGACACATCCAGCTGCATAAAAGCATAAACTTTTGATCATAAACTAGAAAAAAAAGGACTGGGAAGACACCAACTCAGCTGTATAAAAGGTCCCGTTTTCATTTCATTGGAATCTTGAATAAGCTATCAAAGGACTAAGGTCGCAAAGATTTATAAAGAAATGGGTTGACAAATCAAAATATGTGCATCATATTAAAAATAAAGTTTCAAGCAGCTGCCTGACTAAATAAAGCATCGTAAAGTGCCATGAGGCCACTTTGGCCAACAGCAGCACAGGCTTTTCCATCCAGTTCTAGTTGTGGTTTCTGAAGATCAGCAAAACTACACAAAAGTAAACAATATCAGTTTAAGGATCAAATCATGCATTGATAAACAATATTTAATACTGTCATTATATTTCAAATAAAAAAAAATGAAAGTCCTTGTTAACTAGTCAGATCGAGTCATTTGCAGCACAGTTTTCTGCTTCACTGTCGTCATCACAACCTTTCAATTTTGTGATTTTGATGACTACATTTATCCTTACAAAATTGTTGGATGATATAAACTCTCTTCACATAGCATACTGCTTCTTCTTATAATGATTTACTGAAAATTGTGTTTCAGAAATTACTTTTAAGAAAGAAAAACAGAGAAGAGATGCAAGCCTGCTATTGATGAGCTTTCTGTAACGAAGCCTTTGTCGGCCAACCCCCACAGCACCAGAAGTCACCAATATTACTTCATATCCCAGAAAATTCAATTCCTTAACCTGAGCAAAGTCATTTCATAGGCTACATTAAATTAATTAAACAAAGTAGAAGAGAAATTCAACTTGATTAAGCCATACTTGCTCACAAAGAATTCCTAGTCTTCCAACCGCCAGCCTTCCATCAGCTCTAGTGACAATCGCCGTTCCAACCTATGAGATTAATACAAATGAAAATTTATAAATATGCTAAGATGTTAGCCAAAATCTTAAGGGATTTAGTACAGAGTGATGCGATGTGAGGCATTGAGGAAATATGATAGGGTCTTCCAGCATAAATACTAATGATTATAATGCTATTTTTCCCCTTCATCTCTTCTTCCTTGGGTTGGACATATCATTCATGTTCTTCACCAAACATGAATTCGACTTTTGTATCCATTCATCTCTTCTTCCTTGGGTTGGACATATCATTCATATTCTTCACCTAACATGAATTCCACTTTTGTATTTGCCTTTGAAACTAAATTTGGCCACCCCAACAGGAGTTGAGGTCCTTTAATCCTTCAATAATTTATCATCTTTATGAAGGAGTTATAAGGGAATCAAAAGAATAAGAGATGTCTGGTTACAAGTATTATTCACACCTATATGTGTTAGTATAGCCATGTTTAGCCATGTTTTTAAGTTGCTTGACATATTTATCATTCTATAAAATAGATACGGTTAAAATACAATTTATTATTTTGGACAGACTAAAAACTGTTACAACAACAACAACAAAACTTTTATCCCACTAAGTGAGGTCGGCTAAATGAATCATTCTTCTCCCTTGCGTCCTATTTAGTGTCATATTATCATTTAATTCAAATAAATTAAGATCATTTTTTATTTACTGGTAACTGTTAGGATATTAAAAATATATTCTAGCAAACTGCTATTTAAGCAGGATATCTATTTCGGTAGCATTTATGTTGATTCTCTCATTATTACATTTATTCACGCGCTAATTTTCTTCCAGTTCTATTTGTATTGGGACATGTTATTTCACTGTTAGTAGGATTATAATTCATGAAAAAATTATGACTACCATTATAGATAATGTGCTTTACTAAGGCTGTAGTTGGGTACGGTTGATGATGAAATAAAAATATTGTGGTCTTTTAGCATTGAGACTGATTTCTCTTTCATACTTCTCACGAACAAGTCCAAACATCTATTTCATAACTTAGCCTTCACTGCCTACCACTAATTTATTCATTCATTTCAACATCTCAATATTTTCATTTAATTTGCTTCTTAAGGCTTTTTCGCTTGTTGGATCATGATTTATCTGTAAATTCACATTACAGCAAAAATAGCTCAAATAATGAAGCATCTGAGAGAGAAAACATGGGAAAATGTGAGTTCTACAATATATCCGAGGAAACCACCTTACATTACAAAATATCTGAGGGAACCACCTTACCTTACAATTTTGTTTATGTACTACGAATCAAGTACTCATTCCATTCAGTCTCAAAAAATCCCTAATATATCCCTCTTGTCTTCTTTTGGCAGAGGTTAAATTTAAAATTATCCTTGTTCTCCTGCATAGATCATTGCTCCTTATAAAATTTTTTTCCTCGGGTGTGGCTTGCTTGTGATGCTATATCAGTTAACTTGACCAATGGGCAAGTTGATCTATTTTGGTGAACAGGTCTCATGCACAGTCCTATTAACTCAATCGTGAGGTGATTTGGGCTTCATTGGCAAGTTATCGAGCTACCTAGGTCTGAGCAGACATCTATGCGTGGATCGTTGTAGGCAAGTTGTTGGTTGTAGTTCCATAATTCAGTTGCGTCGAATGATTCTGGCTGAACTATCAACTCAATGAGCAATCTCCCATGATATCTAGAACCTGTTGTGAACTCGGTCCATAAACTTTTGGGCATACATTGAGCATACACGACTGAAAATGACATTTTTCCCCTTTAGAATAATAAAAATACCATAACTCCACCGCACGGTTTCATTTCCGTTGTCCCCACACATCATCTCATTTATCATCATATATATGGTTTTAGCGAAATTGAGTTTTTCAGACCCAATGCACTCGGTCACTAAAACTATGAGAGTGCCAAAAATCAGTACTTTGGGTGGGATGCAAAGATTGAGTAAACTTGCAAAACCTAGTAGTTTTCATGAATTTCAAACAAAACAAGATGCTTCCATTGCGACCTAGAACCTTCAAATATGACTCTTTGAATATATCACAGATAATGCACATTAAACATGTGGAAACGGAATAAAACGGGATTGATTTAGATTAAGCAAAGAAGATCAAACAGCCGAACACATTAGAAGGCAACAATGGCAATAGATTGGGAGAATTTAACTAAACCACATGGATAGAAAGATGAAGAACCAACTTTGATGATGAGGCGCTTGACATCCTTTGTGAAAGCTCGAGTCGAATCCATGTCGGCGGCTGGGGGACAGAGACAGCGAGCGAGTATGGTAGATCCTACTTGAAACAAGTTGAATATCCGCTTGCTTTAGGGGCTGTTTGGTAGCCGGTTTTGAGCAGACGGCAAAAAAAAAACCACCTTTAATAAATCCAGTACAAGACAAGAGGAAGAATGGCGCGAATAGGCTTACCTTCGGTTTCTGGTAGGAGCGGAGAGGAAGGATGAGAGAGATGGGAGTTTCGGTCCTCTGTCAGCCGCGATCCCGTCGTTTCCTTCCCAGCTAGCTAATGGCGACTCTATCGCGAAGGTTCGTTCACGAAGGCGATGATTTTAGGCGAAAGGGCGAAACCAGTAGAGGCAATGACGGCAGAGATGGGAAGTTAGGGCGAAACCGGGAGGAGCGGGAGGATGTCACGGAGGGTTTCGGCGGTAAAGGGGAGAGAGAATTGCGCACTTAATTTTCTTATTTTAGTTAATTAATAATTAATAAATAATTTATATATTATCAATTTAATTAAAAATATTAAATTTATATGTAATTATTTAATTATTAATTAATAAATAAAAATGTTTATTTAAAATTTTTAACTATGTAATAAAGGTATTTTTATATATGGAGGTCCCCAAATTATATTTATTATATACGGATAATCGAAAATTTAAGTCTATTTGAATAAGTGCAACTTATTGAATATTTTGTTTGTATGCAAAATATCTTGATAAACTGTTGATATCTGTTTTTAGATAATGATTATTCAACCCGTGTTAAATAATGATTTTTGTAACAAAATTATCTTTGCAATTTATTTTATATTACAGAAGTAGAAAACTAAATAAAACATTAAAGAAAAAAGTTGAAATTATCCTCACAGAATTGTCATGTATAATGCTTAAATCACAACAGCCGAAAATCACATCACATAAAAAGCACGATCACCAATGCAAATAACAAAACCACAATTCCAACACCCCATCAAAAGTAATAAAAAAATAACTATCACCAATGCATAAAATCAAGCAGCAGCCGAAACCAACATCTAATCCTCTGCATCTCAAAATAATGAAATAAATGAACAGCGACCAAAACCATTATCACCAACAATTAATACATTCGCATATTACAAATAGATAGACAATATCATTTATATAAAAAATAAATAAATAAATAACCTGAATGACGGGTTTTTGGTCTTTAATAGCAAAAATGAAATTATCATTGATAAAAAAAAATGGAAGAGAATTTTTTTCTAAGAAATAAAATAAAAATTGTCAATGATCAATATTCGAACACATTCTCTTACAAAGATAAAATAAATTGTGGTTTTACTCATCGTTTAAGAATTTCAACACTTTTATTTTCATGACTCTTCTGGTATTCTATGCATTATTCTGGTAAATAATGTGCCAGCTGATCTTAATGTATCAAAAATTCAATTTCTTAATTTAAGTGATTTCATATTTTTGTTGAATACCCCTTTAAATAGTGAAAGTCAAAATATTGAGATTAGACATGGTGCTTAGATTTTCTAGTGGCCTTGCCCGCATAAGGTACGTATTAAGAATCTTAAATTTTCATTAAAATGATACATATTTTTTATTTGAGAAAGATTTAGGAAGAAAAGATATAAAAAGTAAAAGTTTAGTTATCTGAGATGTAAAAATATAAAAATTGAATGTATTTATGTAAAAGGCCTTTTTTTGGATCGGTCCAATCGGCACCTAATAATTAGTTAATCAATAAAAAAACGACTAAAATTTACTGTGAGTAGGACAAGATTAAATTCATTTTATATTTTAAACGTAATAATTGAAAGAGAAAAAAAGAAATTTCAGATACTATCTGGAACTAATAGGGAGGGGGAAAAAGATGGAAAATCTTGATAGCTACCCAAATCACTGTTGAGGCCGAGTTCCGCTAGGGTTTTATATGCTCGAAAGCTGCACTTTTGATCTGATATGAGACCAGAGAGACCAGAGCTAGTGGTGGCCTGAGTAATCGCTTGTTTCTGGCGAAGGAGGGGGGAGGATTAAAACGAAGAAGATATGAAGATGGTGGTTGGGAGCCCGGGCACCGTTGGCGGATTGCTTCTCAGGATGGGACAGTGCCTCTTTTCTAGCGCTTCTATTGCTGTAATGGTGTCTGCGTCAGGCTTTTCCAGCTACACCGCCTTCTGGTAATACACGCATCATCGCTTTCCCTTCATTGAAATCCCTCTTTATGCTTTCATTCTTTATGTATATTGCTTGCTTGCTTCCTCTATTTATTTTTTATAATGGTCTGATTCGAGAATCTTATTAAGGCGTCTGGAAATGTTTAAATAGAAGGGAGTGATGGCAGTAGATGGATATAATCTGTGTTTGTTGCTTCTGACTCAATAATTATTCTTCATAATTAATCCGTTGTGTTTCACTTTTGCGATAATCCTGGCTTTTATTCTCTTGGAGATTTATGCAGGTTTGTATAGTAAGCTTTTGCGTTGTTTCTGTTTAATGTTTTGTTGCAGCTTAATTTGAACCACTTTTAACTGCTTGAACTTGGCCTATTGATCCTTTGACACATCTTCTGCTAAAGAATGATTTGCGTGTCAATGCTGAAAAATATGTTAGCATAGAAATGTCAACTGGTTGACCTCTTGTTGCTAAGTTATTTTGATTGAAAATGAGTTTGATTGCTAGCTTATCATGATTACTTTTAAAGCCCCTTTGATTTATGCTCCCTAACAAGTGATATCAAAGTGGAAGGTTCGGTTGGGTCGAGTAGTACATGCACCATGGTTGAGCAAGTCGCTAGAGCGGCCAACTTCTATGTAGGCATTGGATGTTTAGTTGAGTTCATGGTGCATATCAACTGATTATGTTTAGAAATTTTTGTTTGAGGGGAAGTGATGATTGATAAGTTGTTCTCTCAGTGAAGGGGAGATTTATCAAGGCACATGTTATTATTGTGTCAAATTCCTCTTTTGATAATTGATTTTTTTGTTTTTTTTTTTTTTTGTAGAAATATTAATAGATTGAACTGCACTTATAAGTTCACAGATATTTATTGAAAATGTGTTGAACCATTCGTGGACAATTTTAATTCTAGTTTGATTGGTACTCCCTTATAAGGCTATTTCAATATCTACCCCTAGTTATTATTCAGAAGCTTTTTTCACCCTAGAAGTTATTATGTCTTCCTCATAAAAAAATGAAGGAAAAGATGGATTTTGAAATAATGTATTCCCTTTATTCTTGTTAACTATCAATATGTTCCCTTATTTTATTCAAAGAGGAATCATATCAATGATAATCCAAAAATGGCTTACATGAGCTGTGTGTGAAACACCATGCATCATCATCATCACCAGCATCAACATCATTGACTTTATCTTAACTATTTAGAATTTACTTTTTGAATCTTCATTTTGCATTCGTTCTTGCTATGTGCTGCCCAAGGTATTATTCTTAAGGTAAGGTGATACATGGTTGCTAGAATTTAATTGATAGAGAGCTTGAAAAAATAATTGCTGAAGTAAATAGGCTTAGTGATATGGTAATTGCTATTTTAGACAATTATCCGTAAAGATATTATAAATATGGTTATTGCTTATGCTCCTTAAATTGGGTTAGAAGATAGCTTAAAAATTAATTTTTGAAACACATGGATTAAATAGTATAATATATACCCGAGGGAGAAATGATATTGATTGGAGTTCATTTAAATTAGTTTATATGTTACAGTAGGACGCGTTATGAGATAATTCATTGGTGGTTATGAAATATGTGCTAACATTTAGTGAGAGAATCTATATTTGATTTCATAGTAGCTTATGATTTTTCAACAGTGATCAAGCACATTATAAGAAACAAGAAGCACACTTCAAAAGAGGAACAACCAGGTTATATGTAGATTTCTTCTTAGAAAGGATCATAATAGAAAGAAAGATAAATCTTCTTGCAAAGGTGTATGGTGATTCTAGAGAGAGTTTATCTCAATAATTTTATCTTTCAAAAGAACGTAGAGTAATAGTATGACTTTATATTTTAAGAACATAATGGAAAAAAATGAAAAGAAATGGATCAAGACAGTTTTAACACAGATATATTAATAATTATTTTATTGGTAATCACACTATCGCTAACCTTATTCATCTCAATAATTTTATCCTTCAATTCTCTTTCTATTGTTGTATAGAATGTTGATTTCTTTTAAAAATAACAAAAAATTACATATTTTTTTGGGCATTATTTACATTCCTTCAAGAGTCTGCTTGCACTGTTTTGTTTTTATCATAATCAGTGTCGCCCTCATCTTCATCATAAGTCGTTTTATCCAACTATTTGAAGCTGGTTTTATGAATTCTTATTCTTCATTTATTCTTATTGAGTGTTGCATGAGAATTCATGTAGTTGGTCCAAATATTTAGGATAAGGTCAATACATTTACCTTTCGAAATAGTTCCTTATCATGAAATTTATGTCTCTTGTAAGTAGTTTTTTTTTTATTTTTGCTGACTTAATCTCAGTTCGTTGCCTTCTTTGCTCTCTTCTTATGTTATTTCTATCATTGCCTCATTTTATGGTTCAACATAGTTGGTCGATGTTAAATTTTGATATTTACAATCTATACAGCATTCTATCATTCCCTTTTCTGAAATTCATAGCTATTCTTCCATACTACTCTATTGTAAATGTCAGCATGATGGTGAGTGCCACTCTCTTCTTTATTCCAAATGGTGTTGTCAACGTAGAGGTTGAGTGTGAAACTTTCCATCAGCTGATATCAACTTTATCCATAATTTTCTTGTCCAAGATAGACCAAGCTGAAATAAATTTTTTATGCCAAGCATTCTATATTATATGTTTATTTTTGTATTTTATAATTTCCATTTTGTTTGCAATAATTAGCTTTCCATTCGTTTATGTTACTAATCAAAACTTAATGCGTCCATAATTTCTGCTTTTCAGCTACTTGATTGCTTCCATGGGACTACAAGCATTGTGGAGCCTTGGTCTTGGCTGTCTGGATATTTATGCTTTAAGGATGAAAAGGGATCTTCACAACCCTGTTTTAGTTAGCTTGTTCGTGGTGGGGGACTGGGTAATTGGTTTTCATTCTTGCAGTTCTTTTATGTTTTTATGCTTTTTTATGCACTTATTTGTTGCCTATTTTATCGAACAAACTTGTATTTTGGAATTGTTATTGATGAGATTATAGTATTTTAAAAGTTGTTGGTTACTGAAAATTTTATTATTATAATATATATATATATATATATATATATTTGAAAAGCTCAAGGGCTATATATATATATTATTTCTTTTATACATAAGCGTTCTTTATTATAAAATATATAAGTTGTTTTCAATAACTTTACATAATATCAAAGCCCAACTCGAGCTACGCTACTCATTTTCCATTCTCCCTTGCCACCTTATAATCTCATCATATTTTCATGCTTCCTATGTCCACCTCAAACCTCATTTTACTCTGCATTTGTTTGCTTGCGTGATGCTGTGTTCGACCTCTATTTTGGTCATTTCACTAGCTATGTTGGACCCATTAATGACTGGAAGTCTACTTCAAGATATTGTAATTTTGGACCCATCAAAAGTAAATTATTGTTGCTAAATTTATTGCTGAAACTGAATTTTGGTTTATGATATAGTAGAAGAAATTGCCTTTCTTGTTGCTCAGTCTATGATTCTTACAATATTTCACATTGATAGTTTTCCTATTTTTTTCTGCGAATAATAAAATATATTGAAGAAGATTTTTATTCTATTGGTGGTGCAATTCTATCAAAGGTTTCTTCACTCCTCAGGTCTCTTGTGAGGAATAATTAGCAAATATTTTTACGTAGGCTTTGGATCACTTTTTATCTCCAATTGTTGCAATATGCTATATCCTCTTGATATATATATTATAGCTTGAGCGGGTGTGTTATTGTAGAGATTTTATTAGCTTGAAATAATTATTTAGAAATGTTTTGTTATTTATTATGTAATATATCGTTATTTTTAAATATAATCTTCTCTCTATTTTCTTCATATTTCATCTTGCCTATTTTCGTAATTTTAAATAGAATCTTCTCTCTTAATGGAGGATCGTTCTTTGGGGTTGAATGGGAATCGTATGTTGATTTATGATGCTGTTATTACTGCTGGTGCTTCTGGTTCTCTGCTATTTTTTGTTGTTTGGTTTTATGGAAGCGCATTTTTGAAATTTTTGGTTACGACGGCTAGACTTCTATTCTTCTTGGCTATTAGAACTGAGATATCAGAAGGTTCTGTTTTTTTCCGCTTTACTGCTAAAGCTCAATATATATTTATTTCCGATTTTTGGGCTGGATTCATAGGAAGTGCTGCTGTTGTGAGGTATTATGAAGTTCTTTTTGGTTCGGCAACTCCCTAATTGGGTGAGATGACTGGTCCTAACTATTGGCTGCTGGAACGTTAATGGTACTGGAATTGGGGGTACAATTGAGGAGGTTATGTTTTTTACATTTGGTTATCCTATTGGGTTAGCTTAGGTGTCTCCTTTTACAATGTTTGTTGGTGGATTTTGGTTATATTTAGAGTGTTTTGCTGTGGTCGTTATTTTGTCATATTGGTTGAGGTTGGGGCCTTTGCTTTTTAGTGGAGCTATATTTCTGATTTTGATGGACTTGGGGCTTCTTACAGAAGTGTGGTTGCTTTTCACCGTTTATCTCTATGTTGAGGCATCAGTTACTGGTAGGGGTGTTTTTTGGGTGTTGCTGATTTTTGTTAGATGTCTGGTGGTAATTCTTTGCTCGGGTGGTGCCGTTGATCGCTTTTGTGTAAACACACGGGCATTATTTTTAAATTTAGCATACTGTATTTAAATTTCACTATTGACAAGCTTATTAGTAAAGATCCGATTTGATGTGGCATTGATTGTTCTTTTAGCCCATGGGCTTGTTCCCTTTGTTAGCAATGCTCATCTGGAAATCATGCACCGGTGGAAAGTCTAATGTGGCATCTAGGCTATGAGTTTACCATTCATTGAGCCTTGTACTACTTCACCCATTGTGCAAACCGGTGATACCTTCGTGCCCATCACTCTTTTTTATCTTCTTTAGTATACCACCACTATAATATTATGACTATATATCTAACTCTATTATTTTAATTTTACATATATACCTCTTTTTATATGTTAGAAAATATTTATTAACGTGATGGTATTTTTAGGTGATATTAAGGGTTGGGTGATATATATGTTTTAAATAATTTGTGGAGTTAGATATGTTTTTCATAACAATTTGGTGAAATATGATGGAGCTGGAATTTTAGCCATTTCTTTTTTGTTTTTCTTTATGCGTCAAGAAATAAGTTCGTTCATCAACCGCTATGGACTAATCTGACTATCTTTTGGGAGTGAATTAACTCATAGGCATGTCTTTCATTTGGTGCTTTCTTTTCCTGTTTTGTTGTCCGTTTCTTTGATACAGGTTCAAAAGCAATTTTTTGGGAGAGTCTAATGAAGCAACAAAAGAGAATCAGTTTCCAACTATAAAAAAATCCAGCCAGCCAAACCTGCAAAAATAATAGCAAATAATACAACCCAGAATTCTGCTTCCAAAGGACAAGATGCAACAACAGCTGAAGCAAAATAAACTAGACATTTCCCTTGAGCATCTCTAAATAATTCCCCAACTCTGCTAGTTCTCGCATCCAACTTCCATCAATATTTGCTTTAACCCAGTTATGCGGAGGGGGACTGGGACTCCAATTCATCGACTTAGGAAAGCCCAGCTGAGGGAAGGGAGTTCCCTCATAAAAGGAAACCTTATATTTGCACAATTTTTTAATTTTATGTATATAGGCTAAATCATTGGGAACAATTGAAATAGAAGAATTAGAAATTCCCTGATGCTTTGCAGTATTTCTTGCCATCCAGATGAACCACATCACTATATATGGAAAAATCTCAATTAAATGATGTGGTCTTCATACCATTCCAAGTATCACAGCAATCAATCATATCCCTTCACACGGAAGGGATAGTCACCTAAAAATAGACACCAAAGTACCTCCAGATTTCCGTAGAGAAGGAGTAGTTAAAATATAGATGTGCAGCAGATTCCTCAGCCTCCTTGCATACGAGACATTTGGATGCCAATCTTAATCCTTTTAGTTTAAGTAAATCATCATTAGGAAGCAGAGAATGGAGATGTCTCCAAATAAAGAAAGACATAGAAGTAGACAAAGCCTTGCACCAAATTTTGGACCCCCAGTTTATCCGCTCATATTGATACAACTCGGCATGAAGAAATTTAGCAACAGAGGTGTTCTTAGGAAGTTATAGGAGCATAGTATCCTTTTTATTTAAGTCTATTGGGATTTGGGATATGAAGTCAGCTTTACTCCCCACCATTTCTTTAAGTAAAGGAATATTCCAGTTTCGATCATACCAAAAATCAGAAACCACCTTCTGCTCAGAATCAGCACCCAAAAAACCAAGGATTGAAATCCACACCAGCCCAATTATCATGCCAAAAGGAGATTTTTTCCCGCCCAACATCCCAATAGACATTTTTAGGATCTAGCTTTTAGAAGATTTTTTCCAAAGTTCTGAGTCCCCAACTTTCCATTCAACAGTGGCAAGATGGTAAGAATAGCAATATCTCTCATTCATAAATTTTACCCACAAACACTCACCTCTCCTAGATTTAAACCAAAGTTTAATTTGATTAATATAAGCAATGTGGCTTTGCTCTTTGAAACCTAGCCCCCCTGCACCAACAAGTTTGCAAATTTTCTTCCAACCCACCCAAATTTTGTTGGAGTTGCCACTAGGCCACAAAAATCTATTGAAAATTCTTTCCTACGTAGTTTGGTGGTAGAATCACATTACTTAAATCTGTGTCAAACACAATCTCTCTCTCTCTCTCTCTCTCTATATATATATATATATATATAGCTATCTACACTATAGTGGAATATATCGATTTGTTTTAAATATTTTAACGGGTAAAATATCAAAGTGGGGGATCTTTTTATATCAGCGCCTTTCCATTTTCTTCCTTAATTTGTTTGTTTTATGTATTATCCATCACTTTGTGATTCTATTGTCTTGCCTGTTTTTTGCCATTGCCAGTTCATACGTGGAAGGTTTATCTGATAAATTATTCTTCTGAACTAGAGCTAAATTTAGGTTAAATCATAGTGAGATAGATGTTGCTTACACGTATCATCTGACATAGATTTTAATAATTGTGATTGATGCTAATCCGTAACAATTGATGCTTATTTTTATGGAATAATCGAAACTTTCTTTGCTTATTCGAGGCTCTAGATTGCCTAGATGAAAGGATTGTCATAGCGAAGTGTAGAAATATAATCATCCCTTGCCTTAACCACTATGCTGTCTATCGCTTTTTTTCTACTTTAGTAAAGGTGCCACCTTATTGCTAGAAGTTCTGCATCGGAAGAAGAACTATTACTTTCTTTGTTCACATTAGAAATCCATGTCTCAAGAGAGTTTAGGCTATTAAGGAAATAAGAATATATCAATATGCTAAACTCGTGGTTTAAACGCCTATTTAATCTATACATTCCATAGTTATCTATGAAGCATGTGTGCATGCACAGCATAGATACAGTGATGTGACATAATTGTAAGACATCACTATTTTGACATATAATACCATATATATACGCTTCCAACCAAAATAAAAAAAAGAAATTAAACAATGATAAAAGAAAAACAAACAGTATTAATAGAAAAAGAATTGTTTAATCACACGTGACAATTGTTGTTTGTTAATAACACTATAATATTAGCATTCATTTAATACTTTAGCTGTCACAAATATTGTCAACATCAATATTGCGTATAAATTTGCATATAAAATGTCAAAAAATCTTCCAAAAGGAGGTAAATACCAATGTCCTCTTAAGAAAATCAATAAAATATGACTGTTATTGGGAGTTAATTATCCAAAGTTATGATCACAAAGCCAAGTGAAATACAATCTCTTGGTTATATGTAGTCTGTAGGCTGAACCTAGATGGTGAAGTGGAGAAGGCTTGAAATACATCCTGCAAACCATAATTTTCCGTCAATGGCTTTTAGTGCATTACACTTTGTAGAGAACAATCTTGTAGAAGGCTTGTGTGATTTCTGTTCACAAAGAAGAATGCTTCTGAGCCCTTCAAAATTGCTAGTAGATGGTGCTCATCTAAGTGAGTAACTTTTAGCGGGCATGCTGATGTCTTGCTTTTGGAAGAAGCGGAGGGACGACTAAGACACACATGAATAGGGACACCCATGTAGGAGAGATGGACAAGATGGTATTTGATAGCATGCCTTAGAGATGGACAAGATGGTATTTGATAGCATGCCTTGGGTGTGTACAACACTATCTATTTTTCCCTATACACGCTTCCCGACATGCCTCGCATGTCAGACCTATGTTGGAACCCAATTTTATTTGGAATGATTCTAACATAATTTTAAATTTGTCAGACGTTGTGGGTCATGTTAGGTCCACGAACAAATTTGACATTGTGTCCAACATGGATAGAGAAGACATTTATAAGTGTACATGATTCATAGCTCTTGAATATAAATGCTTAGTTAAGTCGAGTTGCAATTGGATGTATAGTGCCTCATCTCAAAATAAATCGAATCCCATGTTTCTATTCTGTGCTTATAGTGCAAAGATTATGTCATGGATACCTTTTTGAGAGTTATTATTTCTCTATGATGTAATATTTTCTAGGAGGAAATTGGGGGCGAACCTTGGACTTCTTTGAACTGGGATACTTTAATAAAATCGAGCTTTATTTTAAAATTTTATTCTATACCACATTAGTTGCGAGTTTATGAATCATTGTAGTCATTCAGCAATGCTTTTGGGAGTTTCTCAAGTTTGGGATGCCTATGTGTTTGCAATATCTCCTTGTACATGGTCGCCTTTTGTGTTAATTTCATATTTTGCAAAATGTTGAGCTTAACTCACAAAATAAAAATGGATCGAGTGCAAGTTGAGTCACTCAATCAGATAAATTTGTGAAATTGGTCCACGCCAGCGGAGGGACTCATGCCTTTGATGCCCCTTCCTTGGATTCACCTATGGAGATAATTTTAAAATTGTTTTGAATATCAATGCAAATCTAGTTGATTTTATGTTTATGTAAAGGGTTATGCTCTTTAGGTCCAATTTTGCTAAGTCGAGTGTGTGGCAAGCATGCCCATTTATATATTCATAAGTTTGTCATATGACCCAATTGACCAAGTCAAATTCTACCAAAAATATTTTTTCCTTGTGCAAAACAAGTTTCATGGTTTTTGTTGAAGCTTCTGTCTTTGCAAACCTTTGCATGGAGAGGTTCTGCAAGGCAATGCTATCTTTTTTGTCACGAGCTATTGATGGATGCAAAACCATTAAAAAGAATTAGAACTAGATATGTGGAAGATGAAGCTGCCAGTAACTATTTTTATTGACAAAATTTATTTACTAGAACTTCTAACTTTAGTTCGTTAGGAATTTCTTAAAAAATATTTGATGATTTGGGTTGGTGGTTTTAATAATGATACGTGTAGTTTTTATCGGTTAATCGTTTTTATTCAGCATGTTTTGCCCTTTAGATTGAACTTTTTTATTTCTACGAATATTGGCAGCTTTTCCATCAAATTTCTAACATTTGCTTTTGATATTTCTTTTTTTGCAATAATGACACAGTTGGTTGATTTATGGAAAAGAGGCGCTTGATCATTTTGTTTTTGGAAATTTCAGTGGCAATAACTAGGGATGTAAATGAGTAAAGTTGACATTGAGCTACTCTGAGCTTGAGCTTGAGTTACTCCGAGTTTGTGCTTGATTAATTAATTTAGTTTGAGCTCAAGGTCAAGCTTAATTGTACAAGTTCGAGCTGGCTCAGTGCTCACGAGCCAACTTGTTTGTTATGAAAGAAATAAAATAATATTAACTTAAGCTAATATTATAATAAAATGACAAATAAAATGAACAATTAGGAAATAAACAATAAGAAATCATTTGATTTAAAATGTAAAACATCTTTTTTTTTCCTTTTAACATTGTTACTTATTTAATGATAAAGTTTTAAATTTAAATATAATTTGAGTATATTTTATATTAATTATTTTTTTAGTGAGCTGGCTCACGAGCTAACGAGTTGAATCGAGGTTGGCTTTAACTTGGCTTGCTAGCTCGTCAAGCTCAATTCATGCGCCACTTATTGAGCCAAGCCTGAGCCAGCTCATGAGTCGGCTCAACTCATTTACATCTCTAATATTAACTGATATGTTCCTTACCTTGAGTTTCTTGAGTTTTTGTGATCATCATGGCTGGCATTTTAGAGTTGGGTTTGTTAAGTATTGCAATATTTGTTTCTTGTTTGGTTTGAATGAGTGAGAACGCCTCATTTAGAGATTGCAGTATTTCTGTCTTCAAGATTTGAGTAGGAACTTGGTTAAATTTAACATTAATTCCTAAAAAGAACTCAGTCAAACACTTTATCTACATATTATTTGAGAATCACAACATCATTAGCATACTTCTTGAGATCATATAATAATCTAGTTTAATTCAATGGACTTTGTTGCATTGAAATATTCAATGATAGAGAGATTATTTTGTTTGGTTTTTGATAGCTTTGGCCTGATTTCATAGATAAGAGGTGCATCTTTAATTTTTGAGAGTCTGCTAGACAGGTTCTCAAATATTTTTTGCGGTTGCAAGGAATATATATGGTACACTGATTTTAGACATTATCATATCCATAACAGTGACGAGCATAGAATTTGCTTCAGTCTAAAGTGTAAACTTTTAAGTCTTTTGTATTCAGATGAAGATCAACGAGATGGTGGATTTTTTTTCTCCTCCTTTTAAAAAGATTTCACCATCAGAGACAACTACATGTAATTTCTTCTATTTGAAAAAAGCATTTGGAATTCTTCTTTGACATGATTAATATAATTTTATCATTCATGAGCTCTGACTGTATATGGAAAGGGAAGTTGAAAAAATTAGACATGACGAGGCTAATAAGAATGAAAGATGGAGATAAATAAATGTTGGTAAGAGGATCTTAACTTTACTTTGATGCATTATAGAAGTGGCTAAGATGGTTGCTTGGTTCATTTCTCTAATTTGTACATATCTTTAAAAGATTGTCTAAAAAATAAATTAATACTATTGCTTACAAAGAATTTAAAAATTAGAACTGTTATCCAAAATTTGCTTTCGGGGCAGATAGGAGGAGGGAGCAATCCTTAACCATTTCTCTTCTCTAATGTGGTGCATGCATATGAATCAGCGGCACATATTTTTCTTTATTTAGCACATGAATCCATAGATTATTTCATTCCTTATATTGTAATCCCAAGACCATGCTAGTCCCCAGATACTTTTTAACAATTTTTATTCTGCATCCCTATTGTACCATATTTGATTTTCAAGAAGTTATCATATAGTTTCTATTAAACTTACTAAAACGTTCCTTCAAAATTTTTCCTCTCAAGATAAAAACTAGGGTTATTTGTTTACATAGACTTAAATCTTCTCTATTTACACATCCAATGTCTATTTTCTGGCATTTAAATACTTTTTTATTTTTAACATTATATGATGGTAACTCATAGGCTATCATTAGGTTGTTCGTTTTCAAGTATTTTGAATGGGATGTTAAAGAACTGTGCGGATTTCTTTTTAGGCGTTCGATTTAGAGTAAAATAAACTGAAAGTGCAATTTTAATGGATTTGGAAATTGGAATACTCCTTTTCGTCTATTTTGTGTGTATTTGGAATTTGGTCTAATTATTTGCATTCAAAATACAACGTTTTGCATGACCTCTCTCACATTTCATCATCCCTGCCTTTGATGATATTGATCTTTCTTTGGTACTTGGTGGACCCTGTTGGCAACCTCAATGCTCCACTCTGCTCACGCTAACAACCTCACTGCGCTTGACCCTAAAGCTTCGGCTCCTGCATCACAGCATCGGCGACCTTTGTGCTTGAACCCGTTTTGCTCACAACAGCATTTCATGCCCTAATTACTTTTGCATGAAAATGTGTAATTTACTTTTTAGAAGTTAAAAAGGATGGTATGTTTGATGTGCTAATATATATATGTTGTTGTTATATTATATACAATTACATGAGAATTTTAAGGATGAATTTCTTTTTTGATGTTGTTGGATTAACATTCCATTATTTCTTGCTTTCACTTTTTCTATTTTCGGTAAAAGATGTTGTGTTAATGAATGCTGAATTGTAATTTTTTATTTTCTTAAGAAATTTTATATGTCCAACTCAGGTAACTGCAACCTTATCACTGGCAGCTGCATGTTCTTCTGCAGGAGTAACGGTACTTTTTGTAAATGATCTACAATTCTGCCGCTTATATCCTCAGCTTCCCTGCAACAAATACGAGATTTCCATAGCTTTTTCCTTCATAAATTGGCTGTTAATCGCCTTGTCTTCCCTCATCATGTTCTGCTTGCTGGCCTCAGCCTGACTTCTTACCATTTGTTTATTTGTATTGTAATTTTTTTTTTTTTACATTGATGAGAACTACGTTTCAATGTTTTGAGTGCGCTTGTAACTTTATACCACTTCTATCATTTAATCAAAACTACAGGTGTCATTATGAAATTGCAAAATTATCTTCTATTTTTGCAATCTTATCATATATTTCACATTGAAATGAGAAGTGTTTCTTTCAATAGTCAAATCCACATGCAGTTGCTTTTGAAATCATATATAAATATAGTGTGCGCATGCAAAATGAGAAACTCGTAATGGCCACAACTATTTTTTTGACACAATTGCAGTACAAATTAATTTTGGTGGGAGCATATACAGTTGTTGATCGAGAAATCAGCAAGAGAAAAGCGCAAAAATTAAGGGAACATCCGCAGAAATCAATTACATAAAAAACATATAAAAGGACGCATTGGGTGGTTGTCAACAATCCTTAATCTTGCGGCGGAGAGAGTTGGGGGGTGGGAGCGGCGGCCCGCCGGCTGCTTGTCGCCGGCGGAGTTGAAAAGCCGGCTACTCTCCGGCGGCGTTTGGTATCTAGCAGAGTCGCCGGCCGCCGGCAGTCGCACGTAAGAAGCTGAAGGGGAGGACGAAGGGGAGCTGCTCAACCATGAATGGTTTCTCTGTTGGCCGCTTATGGCTCTGCAAATGTACGGTATCAACCCTTCCATTTTTTACTTTTTTTTAATTTTGTTTGCGGGAGAGATCTGGAGAGAGAGAGACGCTTTGCTGGCTGGCTGAGGAAGAGGAGAAGATTTGTGGTTTAAAAAGGAGAGGATTTTGATCAGGCGGCAGGTGTGAGTCCAGCTGTCAATCGACGGTCACAATCGGCGGCTTCAATTTGCCATTACCGTGTGCTATACAGTACAGAGTGTACATACATCAAGATAATTATAAAATCGGATTTAATTTACAAATTCTTTATTTTGTTAATCCAAATGAAAATTAAAGCATTTAAATTAACTCGAGTTGGTCAAAAATTGTTCCTCATTCTAATCAAGGAAAGTTCAGAATATTTTTGGTTCCTCTTTATAATTAAATTATAATTACATATTATATATTTTAAAAATAAATAATGATTATAAATGATCAAAATTTAGTCAAATGTATTTATTCTCATTTTCATCTAGTATTTTGATCAAGTGGCAAAGTGGTGATGAGATGAGATGCTGACTATTCTCTATAACTAATCTAATCCGTGTGCTGCCCATCGGCATCCTGGATAAGAAACAGTCTATAATATGACTTAATATATTCATATTGATTCTCTCTCTCTTCCCAATCTTGTTATTTTATTCTAGAGGCATTTACATACATATCACGTAATTATTATGTATTTACATTTATCTAAACAATTAAATATTTATGTTCTTACATTAAAATATCATCATAATTATCTTTCTAAAAGTGAAATATAAATGTTCATGAAAAAATTTGTGACACTAAAAGTGTCAAATGTAAATTGGTTGTTGATATGTGCAAAATACATAAGCATTGTAAAATTCTCAGGAGAAAATGGCAAGTGAAGATAGCAACCAATTAGTTTGGTGTCTATAATTATGTGCATAGCACTCAATATATTATTATTTATATAATCAAGTGTTCAAGTAATATTTTTGAACTACTGATACCATGTATTTAAGTGTGTCATAATCAAATTATTAAGAATTTGATAAAATTGAAAAAGGTGGGTGGAAATTTTATCATTAATTTTGATATTTGAGTGGGAATTTAAAAAAATAGATACAGAAAATGTTAGATTTGTAAATAAAAATGTTTCATGCATGTAAACAGCACTAATTTGATTTTACTCGAAAACGTGGGGTTGATTGCTAAATCTAGAAAACACTTTTATTTATGGACGGTCAGAGAGGGCTACGGAAGAAAGAAAGAGCAAACACCGAAGTCAAAAATGAACCGTTATAATTGAATAGTTTCATTTGCTCTAAACTTAACTATAATATAATATTTTATAAATAATATAATATAATATTTTATAACATTTGCTCTAAACTTAATAATGTTAAATTTTATCTACCACAAATCTCCATAAAAACATTTACAATTATTTGTCAGGATAGAAAACATATAGTAGAAAGTAAATTCAAACTAAACATGTCAGAATGAAATTAACTAAACAAAAGTCTAACTAACATAACATAACATGTATCAGCATTGGAATATAATAGAGAATTTATAGTCTTTATCTTAAATGATGATCCCCAAAAATAAATACAATATAGAGCATATTTAAGAATTTCAATATAAATAATCAGGAAAAAAATTATGGAACGCGACTGTTATGTATTTATAAATTGTTTTTTGTTTTTACATACATACCACCTAATTCTTATCTAATTACATTTTCAACATCTATACTAGCATTTATATCACCTAAATCTTTTAAGAAATGGAATGCACATTTTCATACATAAGTAAAATGGTATATATGTAAAAATTGAAGTTTTTAGCTGTTATCTTAAATACATATGAATTGAGCGGTCTGTATGTAAATCTCCCAAAAGTTTTATAAAATTTGTTTTCAAGGAGACACGGGATGAATGAAAATAGATAAATTGTTGGATGATGGATTTTATATGGAAACAATCCAATAGAATAAGAACCAATCTTTTCTCAAAAGTCAATTTGATCATATAGCTCAAGTTGGGTTCAAAGTGCAACATGTGTTGATGATGATTTGAGCCCAACTTAGCTCACTGTTTTTTATTCAAGTTATATTAGAAACAATAACCAAAGTGAACATGAACTAATTTTTTTTATCTTCCAAGTGAAATTCTCATTCCTTGGAATGCAAACACACACAAGTATGAATACAAGCAAGCACAGCTTTAACATTATAAAAAAGGTCAAAAAATGCAATCATACATTCACGCATAGAATCAGTTTGATCCCGTCTCAAGCTAAAAGCTTATCTTCTCCAAGTTTGGGATCAATCCAAAGTTTAATTTGAGCTTAGTAATGACATCCAATAAGCTGATTTGATGATGGCCACTTTGGATTACAGAAATATGCAGCAAACCCGTTTTAAACTTTAAAAAGTAAGAAAAAATCAAATTAATTTAAAAAAAAAAAAAAAGGAAAAGGAAACGTTTGAGAACTAACTGAAACTACAAACAATAAACAGGTTGGCCATAATTAAAAAATTCATTAAAAGCCGATGCACCAAAACAAAATATCACTGCTCGAATGCTTACTGAGGTGAATGACTATATATTTGCTGATTCGGTTCATTCTATATGCTACGTGTGTGTGAAGTCTATGCATGCATGCTGCCTTCAATGTTTAACTTCAAAGGATTTATAGATCAAATCGACTTCACCTTATTTCGAATCGGCATCCATAATTCAGATAGCAAGGATTGTAAAACCAACACAACGCTGCTTATCATTGATGCCATCAATCAGTGAAATTACAAGAAGAAGAAACTGAAACAAAAGCGAAGAGTTCAAACTAGTTACCAAATATATCCACTTTCCCTAACAGTAACCAGTAAGTAAATAAACTAAACGGGAAAACTTTTGTATATATTTTTTTTCTTTTTCTGGTTACCTACAGAGATGGTTATCCATATAACCAATAGAATTTAATAATATCAAATAAGCCGCTTTCCCCAAAAAAAAGTATATTCCATCAGGATGATTAGACAAATCCTCATGAAGAAAGCAGCAAGAAAGGACAGCTAGAGACCTGACTTGGACTTGTATATATAATCACAAACTAAAGCCGTCTCCGAGTTTGCCTCCCGCTTGAATCTACGCCGTCGGTTATATTAAGTCCGATATCAGTGCTAGCGCTGCGTTTCCTGCTTGCAGGTCTCGAGTCCTCTTCTACCACAGCTACAGTTGCTAAAAGGTCAGATAACAGCGATGGGCACGATTGCTCCAAATGCTCAAATCCTCTACTCTGCAGCACAGCTGCAAAAAGAATGATTGTCTATGCAATAAGAGAAGAACTTTTTAACTATAGCAAATACATAGAGAGTCGTTATTACGAACAAACAAAAGATGAACACTTGTTTCGTTTCCCTTAACGCTATATGTTTTTAGTGCAAATCTACAGCCATTGGATAAGATTTTCAAACCCTTTTTTTTTCAAATATCGAACACCTAACATCCAGAGATAGCCAAGGGAAAATCCCAACAGGTTTGGAAGGGGCCTTAAAAGTGTGGGATAAAGAAAGGCCTGTTGGAAACCAAGTAAGCGTGACTGTGGACTTACTATAGAGTATAAAGTCTACAACTCCTAAAGGGTATACCATGTCAAGCCAAGAAATAAATATATAAGTAAAATTTGGAGAAGTGAAAACAAGATGCATCTACCGGAAAGAATTTCTTTAGAAACTGCTGGTTGGCATCCAGAAGGCTTGCATGCACCACGGTAGCAATAAAACAAAGATTGAAAAACAAAACAAAATCCTAAAGTTCACAGGATGGGATTTATTATGGTGTACGCAGCGTTTGCATGCAAGGCTTCAGTGATAACTCCCAAGGCAGATGCCAACTGGATTAGCTGGCATCGACAACAGAGTTTAAACATACATATAGATCACAAACAAATTAAAGGAAAAAAAAAAGATGAAACTTCACTTAAAGGCTCATTTACAGTTGGAAATCCTGTTTTGAAAAATAATGTAGTTAGTTCATCATATAGTTGGATGTCATTACATATCAACATTGATTTCAAACATCATAAATCTTCTGAACACTACTTCAAATGTAAAATTGTAAAAAGTTAGCCACTAAGAAATCCACACCTTATAAAATTGTGAGAACTCTTAATAGTAATGGCCAATAAGAAAACCACACCTTATAAAATTGTGAGAACTCTTAATAGTAATGCTTCTGAATCAAATCTTCCCATGGATGCTAAAATCTCTGCCATGTTTAATAAAACAAATTTAACATGGCCCTGAATATTTTTGTTCCCTCTAGAGACAATGCTGAAGAATGGTGGAGAAAATTGTATTATCTTATTTCTTAATAATCAAATTATAACTCTTCTACTTATATAAAAATGAACGACTATGACAAACTTTATTACAACAATAATAACTTGCCAAAGATAAGCTAACCTGAGAAGGAAAGAAAAGTGACATAACAAAAAGAGAATAATACTAAAATAGAAACTCAGAATTCCACTCTCTCCCTCAAGTTGGATCATAGATGTAGTAAAGACCCAACTTGGTATTCAAATCAATGAAGCTGACTGGAGGTAGAGATTTAGTGAAAACATTGACAACGACTTGAAGATGAGTTGGAATGTTGATGAAGTGAATAATGATTCAATTAACCTTTTCAGAGATAAAATATCTATCAATCTCAATGTGCTTGGTCATATCATGATGCACATGGTTCTTTGCAATAATAATGGCTACTTGGTTATAACAAAACATCTTTATGGGATTGACTGTCGAGTATCCCGACTCATTTAGTAACCTCTGAATCGACATTCCTTCACAAATTTCAAAAGCAAGTGTCTGGTACTCAGATTCTGCATTACTACTATAGACCATTGCTCGCTTCTTATTGCTCCAAGTGACAATTTCCTCAGAAAAAAGAACAATACCTAGAAGTGAACCTCTATTTCTCTATATCTAATTTCTTAAATAGTAATCCTCTGTCAGGGGTCTTGTTAAAACTTAATATTCAATAAATCATCTCTAAATATTCTTCATTCGGGATATTTATATGTTGACTCGACGCCGACAGAGTAAGCGATATCCGGTATAGTGTGATAGGTAGATAAGCTCGCCCACCAATCTTTGATATCTATCTTTTTTCATTGGTGCATTTTCTCCTCCTGAACGTAACTTTTTGTTGAAATCCCTAGAAGTCTCAATAGGTTTGCATCCCAACATTCTTGTCTCTTTTAGCGGTCCATGATGTCCTTTATTTGGGATATCACAATAACCATCTTAGACCTGTCCACTTCCATAAAGTATCTCATCATTCCTAGATCCTAAATTTCAAATTTAGTGAAAGAACCTCCTTGATCTTCCCAATCGCCTTTTCATCATATTATCTATATGGACAATGAGTATAACCTACTTACCTCCCTATGTATGTTTTATGAACAATGTATGATTCTCTTAAGACCGGATGCATCAACTAGAATTCATAATCTTGACAAACTTATCAAACAAAATCTTTGGATATTATTTAAAGCCATAAAGTAACTTTCATAGTTTACAAATTAGATATTTATTTGAGTAATGTTCCAGTCTTGGTGGAATTTCCATATACACTTTTCCTCAATGTCTCCATTCAGAAATGCATTTTTGATATCAAATTGATGCAATTTTCATTCTTCGTTCATTGCCAAGGAAAAAACTCTTACAGTGTTTAACTTGGTCACTAGAGCAAATATATATTGATACTCTATCCAACAAAAACCAAGTTAAACCTTTGGCCACCAAACTAGCCCTGAATCTCTCAATGCTCCACCATCTGCTTTATACTTGACATTGAAGACCCATTTGCACCCAACCGGTCTTTTGTATGGAGTAAAATTTGTAAAGATCCATGTGCAATTTAAAACAAGTGCTTGAATCTCCTCTTCAACTATCCTTTTTCATTCTAGACTTTGAAGTGTTTCGTGAATAGACTTTGGATATCCGCATACTATTAAGATTATATACAAAAACTTTATAAGTTCATGATAATTTCTCATAGGCAACATAATCCTGATAGGATAATTTGTGCAACTTATTCTATCTTCTCCACTGGATTCAACCTTCCTTGGAACTTCAAAGATGTGTGAATTCAGGGTTGGTCGTGAACAGTCTTGTGGCTGCATATTATCTTTATCAGACTCAGTAGATTTATGTCTCCTAATATACAATCGAAGTTCCTTGGTGTCAATCTTAAGGTTGGATGTTCTCAAATGGTGAAACTTGAGGGACAAGATGGTTGGAAGGAAAGGGAATATGTTGTGATGACTCTACATCAATGTATCCCGAGTAATGTAAGTAGAATAGGTTGCGACGATTCTCGATTAGCGTGAGTATCCATTATGGTGTCTCAAGTTTGATATTCACCATAGCTCTCCCCAAAATATAAAAGTTGGGGTAATAGGGTTAGTTTTCAAAGAAGATAACATCCATGGAGTTATAATATTTTTTTCATAATAGGAGAATAACATTTATAACCCTTTTTGTTAGAAGCATACACCTAAGGAAAATACATTCGATGAATTTTGGGTCATGTTTTATGCGATTTGGTGTTGATGAATGTGAACAAAAGAGAACCAAATATTTTTAGAAGAAAATTGGATGAAAAGTCTCTAACATAAGGGTAATTATCCACCAATATTGAGAGGAGCTTTAAATCGAAGGACTCTGTTTGAGATTCTATTAATAAGATAGGTGGTTGTGAGCACGACATCTCTCCAGGAAAGTTTTGGGATAATGTGATAAAGTATTATAGACCTAGATACCTCGAGAAGATATGTATTCTTCCTCTCAACTCTCTCATTTTGTTATGGAGTTTCAACACTGAAACTTACATGGAAGATACCATTCTTTGCAAGATGTGATACAATGATAGAATTGAAGTATTCCTTTATATTATCAATTTTAAGGATTTGAATTTTGTATTGGAATTGAGTGGAAAACTTGCCATGGAAGGAACAAAAATTTTGTGTAGTTTCATATTTTTTTTTCAAAGAAAATATTCAACTGGTTCTAGTGTGGTATCAATATAAGAGACAAACCATTTAACTCCATTAATAATTTTCAAATTTGATGGTCACCAAATATCATTGTGGATGATAAAAAAAAAATATATGAGAGTTTGTGTTGGATAGACATGACGAGTATATCTAGCTAATTGGCAGAACTTACATTGATAAAACTCTTATTTTTTATTTATAAAGAGATGAGGAAAAAATTTACAGCATTAAAAAAATTAGGATGACCCAAACGACGATATCATAATAGAACTTGACTTTCAACAGATATGTGAAGAATGGTGAAGAACACACTTGTATGTTAAGAGATTAACTATTCTTAAGCAGATATAAATCTTGATGCAAATGAGCACCGCTGATCATCTTCCCTAAATCCACCACCTAAAATTCATTGGGGTCACGGATACAACTATAATTTTTTATAATAAAGAGACAAGGAACATCTTTGCAACATAAGAAAAATTAGGATGACCATAATAGAAATTGGCTTTCAACAGAATAAGACATAACAAATTCAAGAATATGGGAAGAAGATGGTGAAGAAGATGGTGAAGAAGACACTTGTGTTAAGAGAATAACTTTTGTTGAGTAGATATAAACCTTGATGTAATTTAGCACTGTCGATTACCTTCCTAAAATCCGCCACCTAGAATTCACAAGTGTTAGAATATAATTTAGTAATATAGCTCAAGTCATGAGTAAGTTTGCTGATTGATAATAAGTTGCAATCTAATTGGAGAACATATAACACAGAAGAAAGCTGAATATCTTTAGAAACTTTCATTTCTCATTCCCCAACGATCATGGAGTGGGATCTAAGCAAGTCTGACAAATTAATAGTTGGTGAACTTTTGCTAGTTCTTGAGAGCATTTATATCAGAAGCACCTAAATTTATTATCCAAGGTTGAATTCTTCCAATGTCAATCAGCTAAGAGGACATATTCAATGGTGTATCATCAAGTTGTAGGAAATTCATTTGTGCTCGAAAGATTCAACACCTCCAACTATTCCTTGGTGAAAGAATTAAGGTTGGACAACCATCTCGAAGAGATAGGATCACGGGCCTTGTTGTCTTGGTTTTTCCTCTCTTGCTCAGGTTTCCATTCTACAGGTTTTCCACATAGTCTCTAACACTTGTCCTTTGTATAATAAAATTTGTTGCAATATTCACACAAGGGACGATTAACCTCCAAAGTGGAACTCGACAACTTCGTACCGTGCTTGGTC